GAATTTTGATTTTGCAATTCATCTAGCAATTTCTAAGCCATTCTTTGTCTGACTGCTAAACAACAGGAAGGAGCTGCCCCCCCTCTCTGCCTCCGTGTCAGGAAGAAAAAGCACAATTCATCAAAGAGAAAAAAAATATGTATTTTCTACATATAACAAATTCTAAAATCGATTAAATAAGCCATTGAAATTTCTAAATTGTCAAAGTTTTAAGGACCACTTTCGAAACCTTTTAATTGAAGCTCGACCACTAGGGCCACTTTTGCTTTCAACGAATTGAAAGATACCGGGTTGATTCCATGTCAAATCAAACAGTTTCAGAACAAATCCCCAGGTGACCCCCTCAGATTTCAATGAAATTTGGTCAGAATGATGATATGTTGCTCATATGAACACATGCAAAATTTGAAAGTCATACTCCATGTCGTTTTTGAGATATGGCCGTTTGAAATTTGCTGGACTTTTTATGCACTCGTGAATCGTGAAAAGTGACATTTTGAATAATTTCGGATTTCAGAATGCCATATTTTAGTCTACAGACAAGACAAAGAGCTCAAAGTTGGCATTCTGACTTACTTTTTGCCAAATTTTATGAATCTGCACTCAGATTTAATGTATCATCTTTAGATTTCAAGTTATGATTGCCTAAAGTAGGGTCCAGAATGAGCGATTATGTTTTTTTTCAATTTTTGGGGTCACCCCGAATGAAAACTATGGGTAACATGGGCTCCATTCTACTTGAATATAATCTATGGTCACAGGACTACATCCAGAAGTAATAACAATCCCATTAAAGCTTTAAATCAGAAAATACAGAGTCCCAAAATGGGCCCCAGCCAGAAAAATCCTTTAAATGGCTCGACGTTCATGACCCCGGATGACCCCGCGATCAGTTGAAATAATTTTTGAAACTCTAACCTGTCAAAGATAGGTATCATAGTAATATGTACACAAAATTTCAGCTTTGCTACTCAACTCCTTCAAAGTAATGTGACCAGGCCTCCTACTATAGTATAGTATAGAGGCCTCGTCCAAGACCTTGTTGCAAATCCCAGCCCACATAAGCCTAACATATAATGCCAAGCAGGGCTCGTGATCGCGGTAGCCTGAGCATTAAAAATTAGCAGACGCACTGGGAAGCGTTGTTCACGGCATTGGACTGCAGCGAAAAATGATTCGCCCATCATTAATGGAAAAGGCCCACGTCATGCTTGGCTGATTAGTTTTGATTTACATTTCGCAAGTCAAACGTGCCATACGCAGCAAAAGTCTATTTCTAATGTTGTTGTAAAATGCATTTCAAACCAG